TGTCTCGCCGGTTATAAGCGGATTACCTCTTCTGCTACTGTCTCAATGCTAGCAGGTATAATGGTGACACTAATTTCTGCAGAATCGCGCACCTTGACGCCTCGCAAGAAACGTAAAAAGCACTTGATTCAATTTTAAGAGACGTCGCGTAACGAGCGAGTGCAGTCTGCTTGTGCTAGTCGATGTCGTTATAATCCAATTCCGTGCAAGAATACTCGGCGTCGGGCAGATTCGCCGATTCGCCGGCGATCATCAATCTCCGTTAGAACACGGGAAGAAACTCGGGCACTCAAAAGGGCGGATGGACTCCCCGCTCGAGAGACTCGCCGCTACCATTAGCGTAGAATTGAGAAAATTTCGAAGAACTCTGGACTATTTTCGTATTGTAGATGAAAATTACGTCATCCTGAGATATGGAAAGTTACAAATTTTAACGCGCCAAAATATATGGCCCATTGATTTTATATTAGGAGCATGGATCTCAGTCTTTGTGTCCAGCTGAGACTAACTGTTCAGCTAACAAAGAAAATTACAGGACAAATTTTGAACCCTTCTTAAAAGTCTTCTTAGAAGTCTTCTTAGCCGAAATACAATGTCTACCGTAACAGTAAAGCAGTCCCGTTATTTTCTGTATTTTAGTGAGCTTTAAGTCCGTTACCATATATTTATACCTGACGTTCCTGTCTGTGTTTGTGAATTTTTCTGGAGATTCTTTGTATTTATGTGGATTATGTGGATTTTTCTAAAAATCGTTCACATTTCTCATTTTATCAGTGTTTTGTTTCCAATTGTTCTTGTCTCTTAAGATCCGTACTCCGAATATCAATTAATTGTTACTTCGCTAATTATTCCGTATTTGCTCTAGAATCAAACGATTGCTACTTTCGTTCAACAAATTGTCAATGAGACCTCTTACCGTCTCCGAGTTTGACGTCGTTTTCGGTATCGCGGCCTCTGAGCAGGCGAGAAATAGCGGACACACTTGGCGCGCTGGCCCGGTCGCAGATGCCATCTTTGATAAGACGATCCCTGATTTCCCATGAGAACATACCCGGATTATCCTGTTTATATTGCTCGATCTTCGCCTCCACTTCCGGCGTGGCCACTCGCGGTTTACTCCCACCGATCACACCAGGCCTGATGCTTCCTGTTTCTTGATAGCGATTTAGTATCTTCGATACACATCCGTGGGACACCCTCAGTTGTCTACGCTCAACAGAGAAAGATGCAATTAATAGATTAATTTAGATATTGTCGTAGAGTATAATTGTTTATCGTGTGTTTCGAAAAGCGCTCTGCTATTCGGAACTATTCGGAAAAATTTAATCATTTTACCAGCATTTGAGATAATCGAATATTTTCGGTGAGCAAGTAAAAAAAGTCTTGCGCATTGAGAAGAACATTACAAAGTATTGGAAATTTTCTGTCACGTCAAAAAGAAAATTATTCCAAAAAAGAACGGTATAAAGTTCTTTCGAATATGTCCACGATCGATATATCGATATTGTACCTTGAAATTACGCACGGCCTAATTCCCGACGCAGCCATCTCAACGATTTTCAGTCGAGTGTGATTAGGTAGCGGTCGTCCATTGATGAAAACACCTCCTAACTGATTCACTCGCCCCTGACCTGGTATCGATCCTAAATCTGGAACAAATGATATGTTTGCTTCCTTCATCGTGTCGTTGAAAATCCCGATAAATGTCACCGCGACTCTGTTAATATCCCATTTTACTTTCCCGATCCAATCACTCCCGCAGAGGCGCGATTGAGAAATCGTCCTTCGGGCAGCTTTGATTTCTGAGCAACACCGGAAGTGGAGAGAGGATCGGCGAGAGGGGGACGACGGAACGGTGCGACGATTATTGGACGGCGTATAAAGAGGGCAGCCTGAATTTATCGCGCGCTCGATTCGACTTCTCTTTGTCTTTCTCCCGAGACGGAAGAAAGAAAAAAAAGCAAGATAAAAAGAGGAAGAGAAAGAGAGAGAGAAAAAGAGAAATATATAAGCGCGGGCGGCTCTGAAGCATATAAAGCAACAACGCTACCGATAAGTCTAATAAATCCCAGCGCGGTTTACGACGCACAACAATGATAGCGTATAATTTGCTCGGCTTATTTAATTTCGCATTACACGATCTCGGCTTCAATCTAGAGAAAAAGGAACGTACACGCTCCAGGAAATAAAGTCATTGTGATATTTACTGCAGGCCGCGGTTCGGGACGCAATTATTAAAGCAAACTGGAGCAAGGCAACGTAACGCGATGCGATACGTTGCAATTAATCGTTTGCAGAATTAATCGAATTAATTTCTCGTGTACCTGTGCGTTATTCAAAACCCGGTCTCCAGTATTTTAAGGAATCGACTCGCTTGTCATAAAGGACACGATCGCAATCGCCGAGAGTAACGAGACGAATGAGCGATACGATTAGATGGGCAAAAAGGAGACGCGCAATCGCACGTTCGATGTTGAGGAAAAACACGCTCGCTCTTACGAGGCGCGATAATCGTCGGAAAAAGGGAGTCTCAATGACAGCGCAATGAAAAATCAGATCATCCAGGCGAGACGGCGATCGGCGTTTGCTTTAGCAACGACAGTTGTGCTACATGTAGTTGCGACACATCACGTGTGTTGTTAACGTAATCAACTTATTAACTATTGATCTTATTTGCGACTAAAATGGATATTCTGGAAGACTGAGCTATAAAACGCGGAACAGCCTTGATTTGCATGGTTTGCGAGAATTGCGCAAAAAAGCTCACATCAAGTTATCATAAAATTTAAGTTACAATTTCACAATTTATCTGTAATTTCATACAAAAATGTAGCTCAATGTTTGGCACGACATTTTCCGAGATAAGAAAATTAGAAAATTGGAATTGTCGCATGATGAAGATTGAAGAACCATTTTTTTTTCGCGAGATAAAATTGACAGAAGTGAAATATAAATATCGTTTTGATAGCATCGATATGCCAAGTATTATTTGCAGTACCGCGCTTAGGCAGATTGAATTAATTCTGTGGTTTCTACCGCCCACTTGACTGCAAATTATTAATCATTTAGAGAGCTCGCTGCGAGAAGGAAGCGGATGATCGATTTCGCAGCTTTCACTTTTCCAATCCGGGTGCAAAACGTCGCACCTAGGTAAATCTGTGCAAGCAAAACGTTAATTACCGATAAAATGGTCCGATCGCAGTTTTTCACGAGCGCAATAAGAAAACAACAAACAATATACATTGTTGCACTTTCACATTCACAGCTCGACAAAAATATGGAAATTATCGCATCGCCGTTATCGTTGCCGTCGTCATCGTCGAAAGACGAGAAACGCAGCGGCGTATGGTCGCACGCTTTCGTTTGTAATTAAACGCATTTCCGCGTAAAACACTTTGTCGCGTAAGACAAAGGATAAGCAGGCTTCAACTAACGCGGCCGGCAAAAAACATCCGTAGAAAAAGGAAACCGCTATCCGATTGCGCAGAACACTTGCATAACCGTGGCCATGCATCGCCGCGGGTGCAACCGACACTCGAAAAACTATACATGTCGACCAACGATCGCGCTCCTGCGAAACAATTTAATTGATCGTTTGATTAAGAAAATGAGAGTGTAAAGCTTCAGCTTTCAATATTTTTTGCGCGACTCTGACTTCGATTCAAGCCGCACTTCAAAGAGAAAAAGCCCTTTTCGCAAAAAAAAAAAATTGCAGCACGACTCATAAATCATTATAATAATAGAATGAGGTAAGAAATCCTGCGTTCATACGATAAAAATAATTAATGATCATCATTGAAGAATTTTTTTTTCTGCAAGGATTTTACGGAAGCGCATTCGTTGAGTTGCTAATCGTCCGCCATCATTTACCGTCGTGATTTCCGCGAGCGCACACTGTATCGCGTCTCGCTTCCAACTAGTAAATCATCAAGCGTCTAATTACCCGCGTTAATTATGTTCAAGTCACTGTGCGCTCCGACACTGACAAATCGCATTATTTAATTTCATCATTGCACGTATCGGCGACATTTCTCGTGAACGGAACAAGTATCGAAAGGCGCTTTCTCTGTCCTTCCTACTGTTATTCGATTCTTTTGACATTGTGCAAAGTGAGCACAGTGTGCAAATTGATTATTTAAAATAGATTTACCAGTATTACTTAATTGACTCATCAAGAGAATGTTTTATTGCTGGTATTGTTACGAAAATTGTTCAGCTTCAAAACGACAACACAAGTATTCAAAGGCTGTAACACAAAAAAAAAGAAAAGTACAAAAAGGAACATAAAACTTGAGCTGTAAAGAAATTAATCAATTAAATTCTTAAAATTACTTTTGAACATCTGGATTATAACTGTCGATGCGGACGCGCGCACGTTTACTTCAGTTTTATTACTTACATTCTGCAGCTTGTATTTGTTCAAGTAAATATAAATTCATCTCACAACACTTTAGAGCTATTTATACTAATAAATTTTAACTTTCTTTCCTTGTCTCATATAACTGTGATTGATTCTATGCGAATATATTCACTTTGTTAGATGATCGAGCATAGACTGATCGGCGAGGATAAACGAAGAGTACATACGCGTGAAAATATAATAACAAAAATAATAGATGGAATGTAATGTGTGTAGATATACAATGTAGATATACAATAGAAAAAACTTGCTGCGTAATTTGAATATACGAGAATTATGTTTAACAAAGGTTCTGTTTCTCAATTTTGATAAATTATTATAGTTTTTGGCAGTTTTTTCTACAATGAAAAATATATATTATTGTCTATTTTACACACTTTTGTGACAAATATTCTTTTATTCTTTAGAAAGTAGAAAACAACAATAAAGAGAAGAATAAAAGCAGCGAAGATGAAAAGAAAGCAAGCATTGAAATGAGAGATAAAAAGCTTTGACATTTCGAGAATTTTTGTTTTCCGTTTTTCGGAGAAACAAGATCATTAATCTTGTGGATACGTGATTTATAGCATTTCACATTCAATAGTTGAAAAGTTTCTATTTAAAATTTAATCTTTTTAAACGTTTTCAAAAATTTTCAAGAGAAAATAAGCAATAATAGACTTTTTTATCTGTTACGTACAGTAGCATTAAAAACCTTATTTTAATAATTATTATTGCTTCATATACATATTACACATTTTTTAATCCTGCATTATATTTATTTAATAATTTTATGATTAAATATATAATTTTAAATGAATCCAAAGAAAGTATTAAATGTTTAAACATTTGCAAGATAATAAAAATGCAATTTAGATCATAAAGGCATTTCATAAACTTTGTCCGGCGATTATATAAAATAAATGACTAAATGTAAAGCGTACCTTGAAATGAATATCCAGAGAAACATGGTCGCATCATCGAAAAATTAGTGGCAACCGTCATTTCAACCAAGCGAGCCACCGCGAGGTAGTTCGAACGAATTCGCACCGGCACCAAGTGATGTAAATTTCACCACTACCGCACCTCACTAAGCTTCTTGTAAAATCGATATTTGTCACGATCAATCTTACAATCCAGTGGTTTACTTATTCGAACAATTCCATCGAATCGCAATTTATCAGACGATCGCGAAACGAAACACGTAAACAAACACCAATGAGCCATCTTCATAATGTGGAAAACTTGATAGCGATAGGCCTGCCGATTGAATCCATTTGGCTATATAAATTATTCAGTTCGTGGTCCAATCATACTTCAGTTCCTCTTCTTTAGCGCCCGACTGCTCCGTGATAGACCTCGATCGATCAACTTTCCGATCCTGATTGAGCGTCATCGGATTTCATCAAACAGATTTAATTGACAGGATTAAATCTATTTGGATATTTAACTCGTGCTCCTAAGTCATGTTGTAGTTCCTTTTCTTTCTCGCGCGCATTCAGATAAATAAGATAAATATTCGCGAACACTTCCCGCGCTCGTCCGCTCCGCCGTTACCGCGGTAGATCTCGACCGATCAACTGTTGGATCCTGACTAAAGTTTTCCGGGGATGAGGTGTCGGGGTAACTAACGGCCAGGTACTCCCACCAGCAACCGCAATACTACCGTGGTTTCAGTGGGGTACGCGTTGGCACGTTGCCTGGATGCAACCCGGTGCAGCCGACTCGGTAAAATCGTAAGGCAGACTCACGTTCTCGGTGGTGCTGGTGTTTGCCGGCCAATCACGGACGCAGCTTGGTGTTTTACCACGCCTCCGTTTACGCCCAGATGGGTGCCAGACGATGGGCATAAGGTGCCCACCTTGGTTTTATTGCCGCGCTTTTAGGAATGCATGATGACTCACATGACGATGTTTCTGGAGAAATGTAAGCTGGAAGGTCAAAAGGATTTGTTTTTCGCATCTTTTTCCATTCTGCGGGGGTGCTTTTATTTCATCTGCATTCGTAATTAATCTGCCATTAATCCAGTTGTATTTGTCATCGATCAATGATCAACGACCGGCCGCAATCCGAGAATTGACTGTCAAATGATCTTGACAACGAGCATGGAAAAAGTTACACAATGGCGCTCTACATGCTTATTTGTGGAGCGTGCAATTAAGGTAATGGGAGAAAATCGTCATGATCTTTTCGCCGTCGGTTCCGTGCGACGTCATCGCTCGAGCACAGATTGTGCGCTTCTTGCGCGTTTTCAGGCTAACATAAGTAAAGCGATTTGGCGCAAATCACCGGCGCAAGGCGCGTAGTTTACCTAATCTCCAGTGTCAGGTGTTCACGCATGATTGCGAATTACTTCAAGACTCCCGGGGCTTTTTTCTCACTCCCAGGAGGCCTCCATTTCGAGCTATCGGGGAAATGACGAGGCACGACTAAAACAGGATGCGACACAATAGCCACGGTGGTGACGTAAGACGGTGATCGATTGCTGGTTTCCTTCAGTAATTAAGCATCTTAAATAAAGAGGTACAACCCCAAAGGTGTTCAACCCCCGTTTCAATATATTCAATAATTTTCACTAATCTCTCTAACTTTATTTTTTATATTATATTTTTTATACGCAAAATGAATTTACATTAATATAAAATTTAGGAATTCTTTGCTGTTGCGCAATTTTGTGTAACATTCAAATACAAGTAAGCGCTTGTTTTTCTTCTGTGCGATTTTTTTCTTCACTTCGAGGTAGGTCTCTTTTTTTTAGGAAAATTTAGGGAAGTTAATGCAACCTTGAGAGTGATTTATGTTATATGCGGTAGTCCAGGAAGTAACTTAATTAATTCACAAGTACAGAGAAAAATATGTCTACCGAACATGCGGTAGTCATAGTATTCTATCTCAAGACGACAGCATAAAGACATCATGTTTTGTTTGATCCGCACAGCAGGAGCACATTCTAAGCCCCCTAGAAGGTATATGGACTGTAAGGGTAAGTTCATAGATCTCCGTATTCGTTACGTCACCGGAAGATTTGGAGATGCCGAATGTTTGGCGGAAGCGCAAGAGAGTCAAGTAATTTTAATAATAAACATTAATGCGACCCGACCTCCATTGAGTGCATCGTTATACCGTTTATACCAAATGGTTACGTTATATCGTTTATACCAAAATGGACAACATTTTTTCCTTTTATTCCTCTTTTATTTTCTGCGATTTCACGGGATAAATCGTTACTACCGGAACCTTGCCGGAAACAGTGGTGTTCGAAAACCATGAATCACTATTATATTACTTTCTTTGTCTATTCTTTCCGCAATGCAAATAAATTTTGAAAAATGCGAACCACACACAAAGTGTCGTTGGTTTCTCGCATTTTCAGCTTTCGAATTCTTCCCTGAATGCCGTGGTCAGAGAAGTAATATTTTCATTGAGAAATGTCTATCTTACTACGTAGGTCATCGAAGACCTATATTCCTGAAATTTTTCTATCATCTTATCTCGCGTCATGATGTTGTAGAGTTTATGCCAAGAAAAGGACATTAATTTCCCGAAAACTCTCGCTCGTTGTCGGTTTGGTAATTTCGCGTGACAAAAAGGCGGCGTATCGGACGGTCTCGAGTGTGCCAGGACGGTAATGACGATCCGGGTGTGTAAAAAGGCGATCGGCTGGTACGCGGGCGTGAAAGAGGAACGATATACATCGCTCTCTGATGAGCCAGCGAAAGAGGGCGGAGGCGAGAACCTGCAAACAGATGCAAATTGCGCCTCGGAACTCGATCCGCCTACATGACAACGCGGACAGTAGTGACGTAGACCGTTACACCGTAAATTATCTACCCCGTCCGAGCATTCAACCCCTGCTTCTTCTTCTTCTTCCGTCGCTCTCTCTCTCTCTCTCTCTCTCTTTTCCGCGCGCTCCTTTTCCGTCTTCTCGCTCGACAATGTCGCTTGACCGGCGGCTCAATGTGTATTAATATCGAATCATAAATATGTAACAACTCGTGGAGAATCGCATGTGCTTTGAGAATCGTCTGGCTGTAAATCTATTTGGGGCGAACAAAAAAAGAAGCAGAGAAAGTGCGGTTACCGAATACTTAGTATTTCCATTTGTATTCGTGGTTTTTTTGTTTGCTGCAATTTTTTAGACGATTTTATAACTGGTGGCGAATATCTGTCCACATAACTACCCATCAACTAGCTTACCTGGATGTCTCTAAAGAAATATGTCTTTGGTTTTAGGTTTTCTTGAAAATAACTTTTAGAAAGTTTCTCGGTGTTTTTACACTACTTAATTTTAATACATTATTTTTTACACACAATAACTTACAGAAGAAATAGACGAGAAAAATGTGAATTAATTAAATATACTGCAATAGCTAAATGATTTACGAAGGCCAATACCGAGTTGTCGATGTTTCCCGGCGCGACTAGGAAGGCCAGGCAAATCATCTCGCATGCGTCGGATCATTAATAGCCAATTAATTAGTCTGTCAGGCAGTATGTCTCCCGGCTGCGGGTAATCGGTCTTCGTGTAAGCGTCGATTAACTGCAAAATGTATTTTCAACGACAGAATGTAGTTGATAAATAACTAGTCGCAACTTGGAAGATTAATTATATTATTCGCGACAGCGAGCAGTTGCGCTAGAAGATTGCAAATTTTTTGCAATGCTATAAATCAGCGCACAATTTCTAGATATATAGTTTCAAAATGCATCTTTTTACATTCCGGTAACTTCAACTTTAAAATGTAAATTTGCGTCTTGCAATAAAATGTCTCCATTAACATTATCTTCTTCCCGCTGTGCGATTAAGAAAATTATAGTTCCAAGATTTTTATTCCGCGCTATCGATATAGTAATGTTGTTTTGTATAAAGGGTTAACACAATGAGCAGGATGTTTTGAACGCGATAGAATCGCTTCCTCGGAAAGAGGACTTTAGATCCGTATCGACCGTCTTCCCGACTATTCAAAGACTTTGATGAAGAAAAAGAAATAAAGAAGCCATTTATAACAAAGTATTTTTTTGGTAGCCAGTGTTGATTTTTTGCTGCTAAATAACTTCTCGACTTTTAAATTTTCTTACTTCTTCGGAAGGACCTCAATGTGTTATTCTTACGAGAATGCTGACAGATTCACGGCTGCGAATCTGCGGGTGTTCTTACACTTTGCAGTCTAAATGTTGTTGGCAGTTAAGTTTCGCTCATAAAAAATGAGTAAAAAAATTGTAACTTTATTTATTTTTGAAGATCATTTTGGAGCATATAAAAAATATTTTGAAAAGAACGAGTTTTGGGTGAAATTCGTAAAATATAATAGAGCAATTGGAGAAATGTCTGTTTTTTTTAATTATATAATTTTCTCTTATTTTTTATAATTAAAGTATTGTCTGGAATAACATTATAACCTAAAACTAAATTATTTTTTAAAAAATGAAAGAAATGAGGTTTTATTTGAAATGATAAATAAACTAATTATAAATAACTGAATAAACTAAATATTTTTTGGCGTAGAAGCAGCATTGCAGTGAGATACGTAGACAACCAAGTATAGTCTACGAATGTCAAGAACAGTGATGGTAGAACAGCAGGAAGTCTAACAACCTTGAAGGAAAGTTTCTGAAGAAATAAAAGCTTTACTACAGCTAAGGGTAACCTTTTATGTCATAAGTGTCAGTTATTTCCGGCATATTCAATTCTTTTATTCAAATGCTGCATCCGAAGTTCGATTTACTACATCAAGCTAATTTCGGAATTCAATTCGTTTTAATCAGACTCAGTATTTTAGTATTACATCCATGATTAAAACAGTTATTTTTGCAAATGACTATTTTCTTTCGTCATTGTTGTATATTTGATAAAGATAGATATAGTCGCGGAAGAGATACACGAGCCATATTGTTAATACTTTCGAAAACTAGAATAATGGTCGACTAAACCAGTATAAGATTTATAAAGGTTATCTCCAGAATCCTCATTTGCTTCTCGCAGGATCCTTATGCGGTCACGAGAACCTTTTTACTTCCACTTTCTTATTCAGTTTTTCGCAGCAGTAGTCTGCCATGTTATGCATAAATCTTCTTTATTATTTTTCACTTGTATCACTTAGGAATAAACAGATCAGAAGCAACAGAAAAGTGTGTTAACGAACTACTCTTTTGTGCAATTTCCCTAAATATATAACAATCTATATTTTTTTATTTTAAAGAAATCAATTAAACAGTACTCTTAAAGATTTTTATGTTTTATGTATTAGCAACAAACAAAAATTATTTGCAACATACTTTACCTATGCATGCGTAACATGCATGCAGGTAGAATATGCTGCTGCAAGAAACTGAATAAAGAAGGGAAAAGGAAAAGGTCCTCGTGACCGCATAAGGGTTTTACAAGAGGCAAGTTTCTGGAAATAACCCTTGTAAATCTATATATTGGTTTAGTTGGCCATTATTCTAGTTTCAAAAGAATTAACAATATGGACTCGCAAAGATTCGAAATACCATAATCCCTTCAGTCATAAACTTATTAAACTTGATATACAACCGTGAATAAGGATATAGATTATATGATGTGCCGGAATATATACAAACAGCATCTTGACATTATTGACAAAGTTACTTCATCATTTTCGTCACGAAGCATTATTTTATATTTTACTACTATATGGAAGAAAATTTATGGATTCCGCCATTTGCCTTACACGGATACTTTTTGGTTTCTTCGTTGGCCAAACGTGTCTTAAACTAAATTTTTTCTCGACGTGAAGAAGTTTACCTGCTACTGTGAAATAAATCAGTTGACACCCTATTCAGCGGGATAAGTTCTACGAAATAATATTTGATATATAGCGCTAGGTAGGCAAATGCGCAAAATTCTGATTATCATCGATTTATAATTTGCTAAGCAGCATTTATTATATAAATTGTGGATTTATTTCAGGAGTAAATCAAATAGATTATCCGAGAGAATAAAAATTAAAAAAAAAAACGTAAGAAATACAACAGTTGCCTGAAAGATTTTTATAGATAAAATATATATCTTGTACATTGAAGTAAATTAATGTGCGAAAGAAAACATATAATTTTGTTCGCATTATGTATTTAAATTGATTCCAGATTATTGGATAAAATATCAACAGTTAAACTAGTGATCATCATAATTTAAATAAGAAACTAATTGCGATCGGCCTGATTTTGCAGTAGAAGAAGCTACTTTCAATGTGCAGCGAACTGTTCGCTCGACGGCGGCGATTCGCATCATCGAATCGTAACAGCAAATTTTCTCACAGAAATTAGTCGTTTGAGCGCTGTAAATAATTGTTCTTCCAGCCTGCGAAAACTTGGAATGCTGAATTCACAGCGGATTCCACAATGAATTTTCTTTTGAATTGCTTTTTGGATTACCCGTTATCTTTAATGTACATCAAGAATCTACAATAAACTTGGCAAGTAAAGATAGAACATTTCTGAAAAGTATAAAGTATGAAGAGTTTTTAATTTAAATAAATCTATTTTACAATAATATATCTTTTATTAAAGATATTTTGACTTTTAGAAAATTAAATTTAGTATATAATTCTTGCTTTTTTTTTGTTAAAATGTCTATTTCTTAGTTTTCTTTAGAACGCATAAATTTTTTTTCGAAAGTACAAAAAAGAAACATGTTTAAACGACAATGAGATATACAGCGCATCGCCACGTGACAGAGATTGTATTCTTGGTATTCTTTTCATACTCTGCGGGATAGCAACCTTTGCGAGAAGTAAGTAAATCTTAGTCATAAAATCGTCAGATTGTAAAATCATAAATATTTGTCATTATCGCCCATCATGCATGTAGGCCATACGATAGATTCACCCCGTTCAAACAGAAAAAAATAAAGATACATCCTTTGAATAGGCAAATCTGCAGGAACGGAAGCACAAAAAATTTCTATGTAAAAAACTACTTTTCTTCTATTCACTCGATCACCGGAATTTATGACATTGATTTTATTGGATGTCTCACGGCGCGAATATCATAATCAGCTCCAATTCTTTTGAAAATTCAATTTTTTTTAAAATTATTCTTCAGTTCAAAAAATGTTCCGCTTTCTTCTTCACAAAAAAGTCGATTTTTCTTCATAAAAGAAAAAGATTTGATCGATAGCGTTGCCGAAGAAACAATGTTAGCGTGGGACCGTTGGGTGGTGAAAAGTTTCGCGGTAAGAACAACAGCGATGCAAGTCGAGACTAAAAAGCCGCGCTTATGCTTCGTTAGATTTCTGACAAGAAACACTTCAATCTCTCGCCGCGACAGGCAATATACATTTTTGTGCCGTCACAATATGTCCGATGGATCATGATATACAAGCGATCAAACCTGCGAACCGGGATCATCGAGATTTGTGGGAATACCGAAGCTATCGCGGCGTGGATTATCAGGATTTCACGGGTTTCCGACACTGCGCTCGCGTTTTCTTCTTCTATTCACCACCCACCTCTTTCCGCTTCCTTTATCCCCTTCTTCGAAGACTGGATTAATTTGTTACTCACGATATCGTCGAATGCGTTAGTTTTGCGCTGCAAATTTTTTGACAATCGCGCGAAATTTGTAACCGTAAAAATAGCAAGCATGTGTAAAATATTTTAATAATAAATTTTAAGGAGATTTCGCGGATGTCTTTATCATATCGCACAAAAAAATAAAAAAGTTTAAGCAAAGATAATTATACGCAAAAGACTTACTTCAAGTTGATTCCCACGTTTCGACAATGCAAAAGCGTTTTTACTTTTTATCGGTAAGAAAGTTTGCCGTTCTCGATCGGTCTTCCATTTTATCAGTTCGTCGAATAGAACTGGGAAAAATATTAATACGGAGAAAATGGCCGGCGGAGGCAGGGCTAAAAATTCTGGAAGGATGCCAGCGGCAAAAGAAGCGCCGACGGCAGATGCGATCCTGCCGATGGTAGCCGCGTTCAGGTGATTTCCGAGAAGTTGCAGTCGGCAGAAAATCCGTTTACGAGCTTCTTCTTCGCCGATCGGAGCTTTTTGTCTTCGTTAATATCGCCTCGTCTCGATCGTTAAGTAGATCGTATCGAGAACAGCGCACCGGCGAGATGAGCAGCTATAGATGAGGGGCGTTGCCGGTATACCAATCTGTCAAGATCGTCCGATCCTGACGCTCTTTTCCGTGCGTTTGCAAGGATAAGGTTCGTCAAAGAAACAGCATCTTCCTTTAATGATACGAGCGCAATCTTACGCTGAATAACGAGGACTATTCACGAAAGTGTACAAAGATATAAAACAGCGAGGCCGCAATAATTACAGTAATTACACACAATGCCACGGTGCCCGTGTATCGCGTTGTTTTAATATCGGAATATCATTTTTGATATTTTAATATTTGTCAGTAATGAGACGAAAATTGGTGACACAGATTTCAGGCGCAAGATAAATTGATTACATCGAACTGTTTGAATGTGTGCAGTGCGTGCATGTTTGCCGAAGCAACCTATTGAGCCTGTCATTAATATCAATCAACATCTTCTCGGCGCCTGATGAAAAATTATATAATTAGGGGCGAGAGACGATCGAGACGATTAACCGGATATAATTTGCAACGCGTCGGCTTGCTCGTACGTGTTCGTCACTCGCATGTAATAAGTCATGCGTTATATCGTGGCTGACTTTATACGCGCCTTTCCATCGATTAGACGTCATTACAGCGAATAACAACGTAATTAAGCGTTTTTGCGTCAGATTGTCGCATTTTCGTATGTCTACTTCGCATAATGTAACATTTGCGGTATTATAGTTACGCATGCAGCCGCATCTGTATTTACGCAATAATCATTATTATAAATATCCATTCACTTCCTCGTTCCGTGCGTCACATTAATAGAATTTCTTGAATAGTTTTTAATGACGCTATTTGATAAATTATAATGAAATAACGAGAACCATAAATAATGTTGGCGCAAAGAGGGAATTTCCTTTCTCGCGCGAACTGGCGGTGACGAAAATTATTTCCATTGAAAAATGCTAAATGAAGCAATCGAATTCAATAAGCGTGACGTTCAATGAAACAAAAACACGTCATTCGATCCCTCTGAATTCTCGATCGCCGTTTCTCACTGTCTCTCGATGACTCCTTCTATTCTAATCTTGACCCCGTTTAGTCACGCGTTTCTTTTTTCCCATCGCGATAGCCTCGCGTTTATGTCGGACGCTTTTTCAGACTGTCAACGACACCGCGACATTGTTCTTTCATCTTTTATTCACAATCAGTTTACGTCAAATTTTGGCCACATTAGTTTCAGACAAGAAATAGCAACGCCAAGCGAATAAATCGGAAATAACTTGTTTTAGTTTCTTTTTTTTTCCAATCATTTTTATATTTCTATGTTTGAAAAAAAATAAATTAAATAATTTTGACGTCACTTGTTTCTGATTGAGTACTCTTGCAAGATGTTTCAGCCTGAGAGCTAATTACGCGACGAACAAGCTATATCTTATGCCGAGGAATCGAATCGGCGAACAGAAGCCCAATCGCAGCCGGCGCGCGAAAGCTCGTCGCGAGATCCTTGAGCCTCGCGGCGGTAGGTCCCGGAGTCAGTCCTCTTTCCTCTCGTGCCTCCGCACGAGTGTGTACGAGAGTACCGCCGCCACGTTGCTGTTACTCGGCTCGAACATCAGCAGCCTTGTACACATAATAACCAAGTGGTAATATCGTTTCTGCGGCGAGCAGCGCCTTTTACTCGATTGCCAGCGACTGACTCGAGCGCGCGGCAAAAACGTTCAATAACTTTACATATGCTCCGATATCACGCAGCATTCAGCAATGCTAAATTTTTCTTGGCGATAACATACATATACGCGTGTCATATGAGACTCATCTTATAAAAATATTTCCAACAAGAAATGCAATCAATTATTCCCGAAAAAGCTCTCGATTAATTATTTCACAATGAGATCGAAAGACGATGTATCTTGTTATTTTAATAAGTGTTTTTTCGATAAGAAGAAAGCGAGCCCTCAGGTGTGTGTGAGCCTCGCGTCGGCATAAAGAAATTAAAATTAAAAAGTTGCCACTTGACAAAAAGTGACGAATAGAAGGTAAAATCTACGGCACTCTTAAGTCAAAATAATTAGTTCGCAAACTTTCAAGAATAAATTAACGGGCGAATTAGG